AACCCAGAAACCCTAACACAGGGTGTGGGCATCCTAACTTGTGTCTGAACAGTTAGTCCAAATGCCTACCCCTAAATAACCTATAATCCTAATCTGAAAATTGAACCTGGTTCTAACACGGACCTCTGCATATCACCTTCTCTCAGTATGTGTACTAAACCAAAACTAAGCAAATGCATAACAAGTATAGCATACAATATCAAACCCTGACATACAATAGAATTAGTGGAAAGTACATGTGTGATTCTGAAAACAAATATATGCATCTATTCATGGAATGTAACAACACATCAAAGATGGATTGAATAAATGCTTTAAATAAGACAAGCATTCATCCTGATTGTAATATCTTACTGTAACTACCGGAAAGGAATAGAAAAAGCAAAGCATGGCTATTTGGTTCCAAACATTGCTTTCAGCAAAATATTTCTGTTAGCTTTCACATTATCTCTTTTCTGAAATGGGAAGTCCAACAGTTTTTAGTTACCATACTTAATTTTTCCATTCATTCACTAATGTACCTACAAGGATCTTTTACACTCTATCAGTAGAAACTGCTTGGCATTGAGATAGACAAAAAGATGAACTAGAGGTGGTCTCTGTTGGGGCGGATGTTGTAGTATAAGAGGTTAACACACAACTGGTAACAGCAGCATTACATATTGTACTGTTGCTTGAGTCCCAGCTACTCTGTTGCCAATCCAGCTTACAATGTGGCTTAAGCACCCATGTGGGAGACCTAGGCTGAGTTCCTTGATGAAGCTTCAACTTGACCCAGCCATGGCTGCTGGATATTTGGGAACCGAATCAGCAACTAGCAGGTGGAAGATCTATGTGTGTGTGTTTTCCTCCCTCTCTTTCTCTCTCTCTCTCTCTCTCTCTCTCCCTCTGTTACTATGCCTTTCAAATAAATAAATAACATGAAAAAGATAAGGCCTCTGCTACTCAGGTCTTAACAACTAAATTTTAATTATTTATTTGAATGGCAGTGACAGGAGGAGACAAATGCATGTCTCCATCACTGGCTTACTCCTCAAATGCCCTCAACAGCCAGAGCTAGACTGGGCTGGACTCAGGAGGTGGGAACTCCAAACTGAGTGGCAGAGACCCTAAGTAGTTAAGCCATCATCTACTGTCCTCAAAGTGTGCATTAATAAAGGCTGAAGTCAGGAGCAGAGCCAGAATGCGGCTATCCCCAAGTGGTGTCTGAACTGCTACACCAAATGCCAATCCCCTAGGTGGTTTGAAAAACAAATAGGTATACATAGTTAGATATCATTATATCATTCCTCCATGTTGTACACAGTATTTTAACTTACTATGATGCACATAAGCAATTTCTATGTTTCCTCAACTTTTTATAATTACAATTAACAGAGTAGTAATAACTGACAATAAACTAGGAATCAAAAAAACAAAAAGATGTAAAAGTTACTTAAAAATAGAGGAAATCTTATAAAACTTCTCAACTCAGACTGATAACATTTGAAAAGCTAGCATTGGAAGAATTACTTTTTCCCTTTTCCAAATTATTTAAACCTTCATCTCTTGATCAGTATGGGTCCCAATTTCTTTCTCTTGGTGAATCCGCAAAACTCCACCTGCTCACCACAATGACCTACTTTCAGTTTCCTTAACTGGCTATGCTCTTTACCAGGCATTTGCTGTTTTCTGAACCTTGAAAACTCTCCCCGCACTCCTCCCCCAAAACTCACACACACACAACAATTTAACGGCTAGATCCTACCACATCTTGGGACTTCAGAGCTGGAGAAGGCACACTGTTGAGTGCCTAGCAATTATTTCACTATGATGTAATTGCCTCCTGTCTGCCTTTCCAACCAGACCTGAAGCTTTTTGACCAGGTTATGTTCACTGTTTAATCTCCAACATCATAAAAATGGCTTTATCCATAGCAGATGATCACTATATACCTAGAGCGGCAAGAGAATGAGTTACAAATAGAACCTTGAACTTTTGGCATTGAACTTTTGGCATAAGAAGATAGGCAGCTCCTTGCTCACCCAAATGGCTGAATAGTTCCTGCTTATGAACATGGTCAGGTACATGAAGAAACTCTCTGGAGACATCACAGGTATAATCTAGAATTTATCATCTTTTCACTGCTATATAATAGAGGAGAAAAGCAGCTTTCTAGAAAGCATTCAATCTAACATGTTTCCAGAGACCTATTCAAGAAGTACAAAAACACTTCTTGGTGAATAGTTCAAGGTTCTTGAGAACATACATCATGTTTCATCGTGAGAAAAGGCAATGGGGGCATTTAGCATGAAGATGGCATGAAAGAGTATCTTGAACACAACACTTAGGTGGGCTGATTGGACTGCTCAATTCACCCAAAGAAACATTAAAGCGCTGGGTTCTTTAAAGTGAAGATTTCTTAGTGTCAAAGGCTACCACCAAGATCTCATATTCCTCAGTATTGAATCTACAAATCTTCAGACACTAATCCTGCTGGCGACCTACTGCTCCAGACACAGGACACACACACACCTGTAAGCCCTCAGCTTTTCAGCTCTGATTTCAGAAGGTTCTTCCTAGAGCAAACTATTTTCCTCTTTCCTGACCTATGTTGACAGGGTCCCTGTCTATCTAGCCTTTGGGAGTATTAACAATGCTCATCATTTGATTACGTATTAGCAAGCTCTGTGCTCTGCTGGCTGCTGCCATACTGCTTCAGGAAAGAAGTGTCTATGTACATCTCCAAATGCAAATAGGGGGTCTTGTCCTTTTCTAGGTGGTAGTGGGCAGAAGATGTGGAGATAAATGAAGGGGTGGAAGAATAGACATTTTTACAACACACTTTTCAGAACATATAGAGTGAGGATACCATGAGATCAAATTCAAGGTTGACTTATGTCTGTACATTTGGTCAGTTGACTAACATAGGGACTATCAAGCACATATCTCTGGATTTGTTTATAATTATTTCACCTGGTCTAATATTACACAAACAGTGCATAAATATTTTACAGAAGAAATAAAGGAGATTATCACTAGCACTGAGTTCTCTTTGTTCAGGGCCTGTTCTGTAGCATGTTGGAGTAGATGGGCCCTGTTTCTCAGGAGATGGCAGAAAGCTGACATTACTTAAGCATAGAGAATGGCAGAGTTTTATTAAAACTCCTATCAGATGCTGCTTGTTGGACAGTGAAATTGCAAAACTTGCAAAGAACAGGGCCAAACACCATGCAGAAGAGATCAAATACAAATAAAAAATTGACTTGAGAGGAAAATCTTTCACTAGAGTCAGCTTTTCTGCAAAAATTGGCCTGCCCTCATAAATTTACCTAAGTTTCTGCTTGGATCAGGTGACACGGCAAAACTCCATCCTGAGCCGTTGCAGAGACTTGCTGTTGAAACAAACTGAATTCCAGTACCAGCTTCTTAGGATCTGATTCACAGAAAGCAAAGGTGAAGGTCACTTTTGTATTTTTAAAGTACCCACACAGTTACACAGAGACAAAAACAATGTGTGAAGAATAGAAGGCCTGGTTTTCTGTGTGTAGAGCCATAGGAAGCAAAGCTATATCTGGTGCAGCATCTTAGTTGCTGCTGGGGATGCCTGCATTGCATAGCAGGGTTCGTGGTTTCAGTCCTGGCTCCTCCGCTTCAGATTCAGCTTCCTCTTCATGTACACACAGCAGGCAGCAAGTGATGACTCTTCAGTCATCACTTGGGTTCCTGCCACTCATGAGGGAGAAATGGATGCAGTTCCTGGCTCGTGGCTTCAGCCTGACCATGTCCCATTGTTGCAGGCCTGCAGAGTCTTAACTGGCAAATGGAAGATCAATTTCTCTCTCTCTTCCAAATACATTGAAAATGAACTGATACATTTAAAAAAAGAAATAAACAGTGGTAGGCATGTAGCATAATGGGTAGAGCCAAATCCTGTGACACCTGGCATCTCAGAGGAGAGCCACTTTGAGTCCCACTTAATGCACGTGGGAAGGCAGTGGAAGATAGAGAGCCTGGGCCCCTGCTACTCCTGTGGGAGACCTACACGGCCTTCTAGGCTTCAGGCTTCAGCCTGGCCTCCACAACATCTGGGAATTGAACCAGCAGATGTAAGATCTTTTTCTCTGTGTCCCTCCCCCTTTCTCTTTTAATTTTTTTAAATAAACAATGCTATCTCCACTGGGATTACAAAGTTGTGTGTTGATTATAAGAGTAGAATTTGCATTTATAATTACTGGCAAACTTCTAATCTCAACTTATCCATTTCATATCTGTGTGATTTGGACAAGTTACTTATTTTTAAATTTCTAATGTATGCACATGCACATTGGCTATGTAAGTAATAGAAACCGACTAGGGGTGGAAACAAAGCATTGCTTGCTAGAAATATGTTAGCAATGCAAGCCTTACATACAAACAAATGCTATCATTTGTTGAAAACCTAATAAATGCCAGTTGATTCACGTCCATTGTTTGAATCTTCATATTTCCCTACAGACACTATTATTACCAGTTTATAAGATGAGAAAACTCAAGTTCAAAATAGCTAACTAATCTAAACCTAGATCTTACAGTTTAGAAGTAGCAAAACTATCTACCTGCTATCCTTACCGCATTTAAAAAAAAAACCAAGAATTTCCCTTTCCTCTTTGATTCCTCTTTCCTAATCTTAGTCTAGGTCACAACTACATTGGCGTCTTTGTTCTTCTTTCCCCGCCTTTTTTTTTTTTTTTTTTGGCCATTTAAAATTTCCTGAATTATGCTACCACCCTTCCTATTCTTCCACTTCCTGGAGCTACCAACTGCAATACTTCTACCTAATTATATCTGGTCGGAGCTCTGTTCTAGCCATAGCTTCTATCAGATCCACCTCCACTATTACTGCCATGGTCATAATGGTAATAAGCACCTTTCATTTTGTAGCACTGTCTATGTGCTAACTACCTTAGGAGACAGACTCCATATTAGAGATGTGGAAACTAGGTCACTTGAAGAATCAGTGGCCTGCCAGGGGCACAGACTATCTTTATTCTCTGTAACACCAGAGAGAACCTACTTTCGAATTCTCTTCAGTAGGTTCAAGCAGGAGAAGACAATTCCTGTTGAAAAAGTGGAAAAGGGGCAAGTGTTGCGTGTAGCTATTAAAAACATCACTTAGGAAACCAGCGCAGTGGCATATCAGACTAATCCTCCACCTGTAGCAACAGCATCTCATATGGGTGTCAGTTCAAGTCCTGGCGGCTTCATTTTCCAATCCAGCTCCATGCTTGAGACTTGGGAAAGAGGCAGAAGATGGCTCAAGTCTTGGGTCCCTGTACTCACATGGGAGCTCTGAAATAAGTTCCCAGTTTTTAGCTTTGGATCATCTCAGCTCTGGCTATTTTGGCCATTTGGAGAATGAACCCACAGAGGGAAGATTCTCTCTCTCTCTCTCTTTTTCTGTAACTCTGACTTTCAAGTTAAACAAATAAATCTTAGGGGGAAAACAAGCACCACTTAGGATATCTGCATCTGCTGTTGGAGTGCCTGGGTTTTGATCCAGGCTCCACTGTCCATTCTAGGCTCCTGCAAATGCGCACCCTGGAAGGCTGTGAATTCACCCAGGCAGTCAGCTCCCCGTTCCCCACTGAGCCATCGCTGAGTTCCTCACTCCTGGCCTCATCCTAATCCTGTCACTACTGTTACAGGCACTTGAGGAGTAAATCAGCGGAAGCAATCTCTGTCTTCTTCCCTTTATCTTTCTCTCTCTGATTTTCTTTCTTTTTAAAAAAGATTTATATTTATTTTGATTGGAGTCAGATATACAGAGTGAAGGAGAAGCAGAGAGGAAGATCTTCTGTCTGATGATTCACTCCCTAAGCGGCCACAATGGCAGGAGCTGAGCCAATCCGAAGTCAGGAGCCAGGAGTCTCTTCCAGGTCTCCCATGCAGGTGCACGGTCCCAAGGATTTGGGCCGTCCTCAACTGCTTTCCCAGGCCACAAGCAGGGAGCTGGATGGGATTAGAACCAGTGCCCATATGGGATCCCGGCGCATTCAAGGCGAGAACTTCAGCCACTAGGTTACCATACCAGGCCCTCTCTGATTTTCAAACAAAATTAAATAAATAAATAGAATACATTGTTCTATATGTAACAAAAAGGCTATCTGGGTTACTTTATTCTGAACTATTTTCACTAGGGGGTTCCATAGTATGGTGGGTATGCATTCACATACCCTTAAGAACTACAATGTATTTAGTTTCCTAGTTAAGATGCAAGTTCCTATCTCCCCAATCAGACTGCTTGGATTTAATTTCTCACCAGTGAAGTCACTTAGAGACAGAAGGTGATGATTTAAGTATGTGGGTCCCTGTCACTCACACAGAAGGCCTAGAAGGACTTGCCAGCTCCAGGCTCAGCCTAGCCCAGTCCTGACCATTGTAGGCAATGGGAGCACTGAACTTACAGATGGGAAATACAGACATTCTCTCAATCTGCCTTTCAAATAAACAATAAAAATATATAAACAACGTTTTTACAAAATAATAAGCAGGTAAGCATTTTTGTGATGTTTGAAAGGAAATTGCTTCCTTTTTTATTATAAATGTGCAACAAATCTGTTAGCCACTGTGGATATAATGCTATTCTGTCAGACTAACCTAGGAATATTGATTTGATTGGCACATAAATTGAGTTTCCGAAAGAGTTATTGGAACAGCCTGTTCAAAATTTGGGGACTTCCTTTATTTCCATGCAGGGTAAAGTCAAAGTGAGGGAAATAGGAAAAGGTGGTGTTGGGGGGTGGCTTTTTCACTCCTGTAGATACCATTCCTGCGCAGCAGAATGCAATCTGGATAATACATCCCAACTTTCTAAGTGTGCTAAAAATAAACGCAAATGGTTCATTAGAGCTAATCTGGCAGCCAAAAGTGAATATTAATAACACAGAAGATCAATAAGATGCCTAGCAAGAACAATGGATGAACTTGGTTCTAGAAATAGCAAAATTTGTGCAGGCCAGAGAAGAAGCAATGGGACAGGAAACATAATCAGACGAGAAATCCATCTTTTCTTTATCAAATCCAAAGCCTTGAGAAAACACGAAATGGGCCCATCTTTTTCTGTCTCTGCTCACTAAATAAGCAATTTAATCAATTTTTACCTTTCTCTCACTGTCTTGATCTGCCACTACTAACTCAATAGAAGAATAGATAACCCTAGTTCAAATACAGGTCAAGACGGCCATTATAAATACTGCAAGCTTATGCTGGGACTGTCTCCCTCCGTTTTTGTGTTCTGTGCTCGAGTAAGGGATAGTCTAGGGGAGTTTCAACCCAAAGCACACTCACTGAGAAAAAGGGTTCCATGGCCATAGAATTTGAGAGATGCTGTGCAATCACCCTTGCGAAGACGTGGAAGGCTCTGAGAAGTCTGACCTGAGAAATGTATGCAACCAGGTCTGACCAGTATTTTTGAATGGACAATTCTCTCAATCCCTATAGACGCTGACATACAGATTGTTGCTAAGATCTCTGGGTCTGGATGGACGCAAGTCAAGTTCGTGCCTTACCTTCCTGTGTGACTTACAGTTACCTAACCTCCCTGCACCGGAGCTTTCTGAGACCAAGACACAGCACGACCAGAGCTCCGTTCAGCCTACCAGTCTCTACCTTAGCAGCCACCATTCCCAGCTGGGGAGGCTGGAGTCTGTGAAGCCCCCCACCCCGAGGAGCTGGGGTCTGTGAACTCCCCCACGCCCCCAGGAGCTTGCTCCCTCCTGAGGGCCCGTCTCCAAGGCGGCTCACATCACCCAGGAGCAGCAGACACAATGCATCTTTTACCCCCTTCACATTCAGTCCTTTATGTCCAGGCTGAGCATGCATATTGCAAAGGCTGTTTGGGGGATAAATGGAGAGAATGAATTTTCAGAGAATTGTTAAAACAAGCTTATATTTGTTCCTTGAAACATTTGCTGGCATTCACATATGGCTTTTTAAAATAGTTTCTTGTGCCTTTTTATTTAAATATGCAAGTTTAATAAAACATTCACCCCAAACACAGAAATGAAGCAACCCCTTATAACTGAGTCTTTAGTCCTACATTCTTGGGCCGCATTCTCAGATGTTTTCATTTGAGATGCTGTTAATCTTGACATTTCAACATGTTTTGTTGAGAAAGTATCACAATCCAAAGGACTGTTCTCAATAGCTAAAAAACTTGACTTTTACACAATTCCATAAAATTATCCATTTTTCCCTTTTTCTTATATATGATTTCCCTTCAAGATAGTGCAAAAAGGGCCCAGCATGGTAACCTAGTGGCTGAAGTTCTTGCCTTGAATGTGCCGGGATCCCATATGGGCACTGGTTCTAATCCCAGCAGCTCCACTTCCCATCCAGCTCCCTGCTTGCGGCCTGGGAAAGCAGTTGAGGATGGCCCAAATCCTTGGGACCGTGCACCTGCATGGGAGACCTGGAAGAGACTCCTGCCTCTAACTTCGGATTGGCTCAGCTCCTGCCATTGTGGCCGCTTGGCGAGTGAACCATTGCACAGATCTTCCTCTCTGCTTCTCCTCCACTCTGTATATCTGACTTTCCAATCAAACTAAATCTTTTTTTAAAAAGAAATATTAACAAATGTAAGAAAAATGCTCAAAATTGCTAGCTGTTAGGGAAAATGCAGATCACACAATGAAATATCCCTCACCCTGTTAGAATGGCCATTCTCCAGAAGACAGGAAGTAACAAATGCTGGCAAGCCTGTGGGGGAAGGGGAGTTTACACACTGCTGATGGCCAAATCAGCACAATCACCAACTCCATCTTCAAAATAAAGGAACTAAGAGGTATAAAATGACAGAGGGGTACAAATGAACCAGATGAGACAAAATCACGATCCTAAGTGACGCTAAATGAGAAGACTTTAGAGAATTTGTGGAAAAAGTAGAATAAAGGGCCCAGCGCCGTGGCGCAAGTGGTTGAGGTCCTCACCTTGCACGCCCAGGATCCCATATGGGCGCCGGTTCTATCCCGGCTGCCCCACTTCCCTTCCAGCTCCCTGCCTGTGGCCCGGGAAGGCAGTCGAGGACGGCCCAAAGCTTTGGAACCCTGCACCCGCGTGGGAGACCCGGAAGAGGCTCCTGGCTTTGGATTGGCATAGCATCGGCCGTTGCGCTCACTTTGGGGAGTGAATCATCGGACGGAAGATCTTCCTCTCTGTCTCTCCTCTCTGTATATCCGCCTTTCCAATAAAAAAATAATAAAAATAAATCTTAAAAAAAAAAAGAAAAAGTAGAATAAATAGGCAAATTTATATTGACACACAAAAGTTCTAAAATACATCTGTATGGTCATTTTTAATAACATGTATTTTTCACAAGCTTTTGCCATGGATTTTGAAAAATGCACCAAGGTACACTTCTCTTTTAACTCAATTTTTAGAGTTTGCATCCTGTTGAAATATATAATTGCTAAATAGTCTGAAAACTGATTACTTAAGAAATGCCCAGTCACACCTGGGAATGCACATCATCTCTCCTAAGACTGGAGCCAGGTAAAGGAAGTGAGGACTAAAGGGAGGCGCACGGGGCAGCCAGGGAACAGAGACATACAGCAAGACAGAACCACAGAAAGGCCTCATGCTGTGTCCGGGAGATATTAAAAGACCAGCTGGCAAGCTGCAGATTGGCTGTTCCTGCTTTCAACTTCCTAAAGAAGTGTCCTTCTCACCCAAGTTGCTCAAGCCCTGTGTCAGAACTACTGACTAAAATGACACTGGTATCCCTGTCCACCTTCTGTGCTTTGCATATAAAATTGGCCCTATTGATTAGCTCTCCCTCCTTGGGAGCTCTGTGATAACAGACAGGGAACAACAGGGCAGCAGTGTGGAACAGCAGTTTCAGCCATTGCTCAAAATACCAGCATTTCATACTGAGTGCTGGTCTGAGTCACGGCTGCTCTGCTTCCAATTCAGCTTCATGCTAAAGCACCTGGGGAAACAGCAGGAATCAGTCCACACCACTGCCTCCCCTGTGGGAGACCCAGATGGAGCTCCTGGTTCCTGGCTTAGGGCTGGACCATCCCCAGCTATTGTGGCTATTGGAGGGGAAAACCAGCCAATGGAAGAACGCTCCCTCTAGCCCCATATTTCCTTTCTCTCTCCTTTTCCCCTTCTTTCCATCACTGTCAAATAGATCAAATAAATCATTTAAAAGTGAATATGTGAAGCCTGATGTGGTAGCTCAACAGGCTAATCCTCTGCATTACAGTGTTAATATCCCATATGGGTGCTGGTTCTAGTCCTGGCTGCTCTGCTTCTGATCCAATTCCCTGCTATGGCCTGGAAAATCAGGAAAGGATGGCCGAAGTTCTGGGGCTCCTTCACCCACAAGGGAGACCTGGAAGAAGCTCTTGCCAGGCTCTGGATCAGCTTAGCCCCTGCGGCCATCTGGAGAGTAAACCATGGATGGAAGATCCTGTTCTCTCTGTCTCTGCTATCTGTAAAACGGCCTTTTCAATACAAGTGAATAAATAGATAAATAAACAAATAGTTTTTACTTGATCTTAGCAAAACGGCTGAGAAATGATTAATAAGTATTTTCATTAACAGGGAGCTGGAATCCAGTATGCAGCCAGGAAAGGAATGAACCCAGACACTCCAATATAGGATGGGGGCTTCCCAAAAGGCGTCTTAACCATTCAAACACCCACCTACTCTAATGAAGATTGTTATGTGCAATACTTTCTTATTTCTCACATAATTTATCTTGAAAGGCAGAGTAGA